AAAAAAAAAAAAGAAGTGGAGAGCAATATATAAACTTGACTGACAGGGTTTTTTTAAATGAATCCTTTCCCTCCTCCCTTTTGAGATGGCTCCCTTTATGCTCAGTAGGATAGCAATCACAATTAAGCATGTTACCAATCACACAGAGCTGTTAGTGATTCTTACCCAAACCCATCAGAAAAATGAACGTCATTTAATTGGAGTAACAAGGGCGATGGCTGGAAGATCCTTATTAAATAATTCATTGCATTGCACCTCCCTGACAGAACAGAAGCTCCTTGGCAACCGGAGTATTTGCTTTATTCGTGTTTGTGTCTCTAGCACAATTCCAGGGATAGAGTGGAGCTCAATAAATGTGTATTGAACACGTGTTTTTTCTCTATATAAAGCAGGATACAGAATCTCATCCTATCATAGCTTTTCAGAATAAATTCTACAGTTGGTACATTAGGAACTAGATCACATACATCTTTCAACAGTGCTTTATTCTGACCACTTCCGATTGAATTGAAATGTGCTGTTACAGGGACCAGTGACATTCAAGGATGTGATTGTGGAGTTCAGCAAGGAGGAGTGGAAATTACTTAACCCTGCTCAAAAGACCCTGTACAAGGAGGTGATGCTGGACAACTATAGGAACCTGGTTGCAGTGGGTGAGAAAAACTTTCGGATATCGAAGGCCTAGTAGTGTGTATTTTCTTTCCAGTTGCTAGAACATGTGAGGTCCTTATGAGGTTCAATAATAGTATAGTAGCTTTAATTTCAGGGGTCAAAGTTGATTAAAACACTCTGGGTTTATATTTAGAAAAAGTATCTATGTCTCTGCTAGCCCACTGAAAGAATATAAACTCACCACGGCTGTGTGAGATCGTCATTGCTCGCTTCTGTCCTTCAGCGTCTCTACATCGCAAGAAATTTGCACCATTTTCTCTCTTCTATTACTAGGCTATCGCGCAAATAAGCCAAATACGGTCTTCAAGTTGAAACAAGGAAAAGAACCATGGATATTAGAGGTAGAATTTCCACGGAAGAGCTGCCCTGGTGAGTTAGCAACTCTTTTTTTATATTATTTATCTTTTGAAAACATTATCAGGAAGTTCCTTTTCAATGCCCTATAGTTCTAGAAATGACTGAGAACATTTGATCTGTATAGGAAGGAAACCTCAATTGATTCTCAGTTTTCATTCCTTTGCTTGACATTTTAAAAATAGATTTATTTCTCTTTCTTATATGCAAAATCCATTCCCTGCGAAACCTTTACTTTGACTCTTTCTCTAGAATGCTTGGTTCTTCACACCCTTCTATTGAAGTATACAGCTGTAATCTGAAAATGATGATAAATTGGCCTATATTTTTTCCCTACATTCCATCTCCCCCTTTCACTAAAAATGAAATTGCTCAGACTTATTGTCAGTACATTTTAACTTCCTGTTTTCTCTTTAAATTCTGAAATGAGAGTATGAATCATTATGTCTTAAATTAATTGTATTATTTCAGATTCAGTAACCTCCTTTAGGTGATGTTTGCCCTTTACACGCAATGCTGGTTGTCTTTTCTAAAAATCTACTGTCTCTTATTTAGAGTGCTCTAACACTAAGATAATCTCACCCTGATTCCATAAATGCTTTTCATATGTTTTCTGACAAGTGCACTGAACTAGTGCAGGGACAGGAATAATACTTGGTATATAATAGTTGCTTATTAAATATATGTTGAACTAACATTTTATTCCCAATAAACACTCTGTCTTTTGTGGTCTATACTCTTCAGAGTAATTGCTTCAATTCTCATGACACAAAGCATTAGTTTTATAATGAAAACTCTTGACATTTATATCTCTAGCATCTTTGTCGTACATGTGTCCTTGTATCATATTTTACCATCTTACAGAATAGTTCCATTGATCTCTGCTTTCTTCCTAACATTAGACACCAATTATTAACTTAAATTCTCATAGTGATTGTCTAATGCAGTAAATTTATATTGCCAGTGACATTTATTATGTGCCACTGACTAAGGCATTACAGTATAAATGTAAATTTATTTCATGTCTGATCCTCTTTTATGCACTGTAACATATATCTTTGTGTTTTCAAAACTCAGGCCAGGCTCCTTTTTATCTAGAAATAACTTCCACACAGGAGATTTTCTTGTGTGTATATTCAAGGTAACGCTGTACACACTTTTTTTATAGAACATTTCATTGTGAATGATGTGACTCTATACAAAACATACCAGTTTTACGCTCAGCAACTCATCAGACCTCCAAAAGCCTTGTCTTGTTTCAATACTTTTTTGCCTATGTCCGTCTTGTTGAATGCTGTCTTTCCCTTCACCCAATATTGGCACCGTTTGCCCCTAGTCTGTGACTTCTTCTTCCTTCTTTTCTCTCCCACCCTGGTAACCACCAAAGCCTACTCAAAACCCTAATTTTGCCATCTAGGTTTTCAGGAATAAGGCCATTTACTGTGGCTTCTTTATCCAATTTAATCTTTTCCTTCGTGTTTTTCATAAACACATTTGTCGAACAATTTTCCTTATCACCCTACCTACTGTTTATTATTCTTAATGGGCCCACAACATTCTCTTGTCCCTTTTCGATGATGCTTTCAATATCTTTTGTTCTCTGTGACCCATTCTTTGTTGTTGCTTTTTTCTAAATCATTTGATTAGGGGCTCATACAACTCTTATCACAATCCATACATATATGAATTGTGCAAAGCACATTTGTACATCCATTGCCCTCATCATTCTCAAAACACTTGCTCTCCACTTAAGCCCCTGACATCAGCTCCTCATTTTCCCCCTCCCTTCCCGCACCGCCCCCCACCTCACTCATGAACCCTTGATAATTTATAAATTATTATTTTGTTATAGTTTACACTGTCTGACGTCTCCCTTTACCCACTTTTCTGTTGTCCTTCTCCCAGGGAGGAGGTTATATGTAAATCCTTGTAATCAGATCCCCTTTCCACCTTACCCTCCCTCCACCCTCCCAGTATCACCACTCTCACCACTGGTCCTGAAGGGATCATCTGCCCTGGATTCCCAGTGTTTCCAGTTCCTATCTGTACCAGTGTACATCCTCTGGTCTAGCCAGATTTGTAAGATAGAATTGGGATCATGATAGGGGGGAGGGGAGGAAGCATTTAGGAACTAGAGGAAAGTTGTATGTTTCATCGTTGCTACATCGCACCCTGACTGGCTCGTCTCCTCCCCCAGAACCCTTCTGTAAGGGGCTGTCCAATTGCCTACAGATGGGCTTTGGTTCCCACTCTGCACTCCCCTTCATTCACAATCATATGATTTTTTTGTTCTGATGATACCTGATACCTGATCCCTTCAACACCTCATGATCGCACAGGCTGGTGTGCTTCTTCCTTGTGGGCTTTGTTCCTTCTGAGCTAGATGGACACTTGTTTACCTTCAAGCCTTTAAGACCCCAGACGCTATATCTTTTGATAGCCTGCCACCATCAGCTTTCTTAACCACATTTGCTTATGCACCCATTTGTCTTCACCGATCGTATGGGGGAGGTGAGCACACAATGATATGTTTTTTCCCACTCAAGATTAAATTGTTTATTGATTACACATGATAGTGGATGATATATAAGTTCCAACTCCATCTGTAATTTCATCTGCTACCATTATTCAATTTAGATATATCGCATAGGATGTGCCAACAACCACTTTTTATAAGCAAATAAACTGTTAATTAATTAGCTTGGGTGACCATTTTTAATGGTGAACTCCAGGTTACAAAACAGCAACTGTCAGTGCAACTAACAACGAAGGTCTCTGACAACAAGGGCTCCTCTGCCCTAGCAGTCGTCTCACGTGATTTGTAAGGATGTTTCCAATCAACCTGGCACCGCCCTCAATGGAGGCTACACTTCACACTGTCGGGGCAGTTTATACCAAGATGGCTTAAGAGTAGACTAACTTTACACAGCACATTTCAAAAAGACATTTATTTAGCGTTATGATCAGACTATTACATTTAGCAATCAACAGCATGGGTTCAAAAAAAAGAAAAAGAAAAACTACATTAAAACCGCTTGTTGGAATGCTTTATACTTTCCACAGAACAGAAACTAAAATAACCTGTTATTCAATTAGTCACAAATACAGTCCTCAAGTTCTTTTGCCCATACACATGAGTATTGTCTAAAACATGTCTTCTTGTAGCAGCTAGGCCCTGCCACCACTGTGCTTGGCTGAGTTCACAAATCTGTTGTCACCTGTAGCTTCCCTGTCACCTCTCTGGCTCTCCTCCCCTGCTAAGCTTTGTTTCCTGGTCATCATTTAAAATCTTCTGCCACTGCCATAACTACTGCTACTGTTTGAGCCACCATAGCCACCTTGGTTTCCGCCCCGACCAAAGTTGTCATTCCCACCGAAACCACCACCTCGGCCACCACCGAAGTTTCCAGAACCGCTTCGACCTCTTTGGCTGGAGGCGGCACTGGCCATCTCTTGCTTCGACAGGGCTTTTTGTACTTCACAGTTGTGGCCATTCACAGCGTGGTATTTCTGAATGACAATCTGATCTCCGGAGTCATGGTCATCAAAAGTCACAAAAGCAAAGCCTCTCTTCTTGCCACTGCCTCGGTCAGTCATGATTTCAATCACTTCAATTTTCCCATGTTGCTCAAAATAATCTCGTAGGTGGTACTCCTCAGTGTCTTCTTCGATGCCACCGACAAAGATCTTTTTCACCGTTAAATGGGCACCTGGTCTTTGCAAGTCTTCTCAGGAGACAGCCCTCTTTGGTTCCACGACTCTGCCATCTACCTTGTGTGGCCGTGCATTCATGGCTGCGTCCACCTCCTCCACAGTGGAGTAGGTGACAAACCCACAGCCTCTGGAGCGGTTGGTGTTTGGACCTCTCATCACCACACAGTCCGTAAGGATCCCCCGTTGCTCAAAATGGCTCCACAGACTCTCATCTGTTGTTTCAAAGCTCAATCCTCCAAAAAGGGTTTCCACAGCTGTTCGGGCTCTTTAGGAGACTCTGACTTAGGCATGACGGCAATGGGGAGAAAAAGCCTGAATGATACTTCCTCCGCGGCATTCACAAGCAGAAATCAATGATATGATTTTTTTGTTCTTTGTTGCCTGATACCTGATCCCTTCAGCACCTCATGATCATGCAGGCTGGTGTACTTCTTCTATGTGGGGTCTGTTGCTTCTCAGCTAGATGGCCACTTGTTTCTTTTCAAGCCTTTAGGACCCAAGACACTATATCTTGGTAGCCAGGCACCATCAGCTAATTTCACCACATTTGCTTATGTACCCTCTTTATCTTCAGCGATCATGTGGGAAAGGTGAGCATCATGAATGCCAGTTTAATAGAACAAAGTATTCTTGCATTGAGGGAATACTTGAATGGAGGCGCAATGTCCATCTGCTACCTTAATACTAAACCTATACATATATGTACCTAGATCTATTTCCACATCTTCATATATAAATATATTTACGTATATGCATGCCTTTATTTAGACCTCTATAAATGTCCTCTGCCTCCTAGCTCTTTCCTCTATTTCCTCTTACCTTCCTCTCATCCCACTATCATGTTCAGCCTTCATTGGGTTTCAGTAATTCCTCTCCGTTACATTACCCTTGGTCATGTCCTAACAGGCCTCCTACACCCTCTTCACCATGGATTCGGATCACTTGTTGTTCCCTTGTCCCTGGGTTTGTTAACACCACTTCCTTTCCCCCCACCTCTCCCTCTCCCATGTCCCCCTGAAACTGTCAGTCCCATTGTTTTTTCCTTCGGGTTGTTCATCCAGCCTATCTTATTTAGACAGACCCGCAGAGGTAATAACATGCACATAAACAAGACAGAGAAAAACCAAGCAACAAAATAAAACAAAACAACAACAAGCCAATGACAAAAACAAAACAAAACACAACACAACAACAAGAAAGAAAAGCTTGTAGTTAGTTCAAGGACTGTGTTTTGGCCTTTCGGAGTGTTTTCGGTCAATTCTGATGGGGCACCATGCCCTGGCTCCAAAGTCTATTTTTGGTATATCTTGGGGACTTTGTTGTATTGTTCCCCTTGCTGTTCTGTTGCACCCCCTTAGTATTTTGCCTTGGTGTAGTGGGATCAGATTGGGTGGAATTCCCACACTGTGTCTCCAGTATTGTCCCCTGTAGGGCTATGGGTCAGTGAGGGATGTCCTGTTTCATAGTGAGGCCAGTTATATGGTCTTCTCTGTGGACTGGCTGCTCTGAGTGGGAATATCATCGTCAAGGCTTGGTGGCCCAGGATGTACTCCACTCTCTCTTCCTCCCCCTTCATTTGCTCCTGTGTGCTCTGATCAGACATGTCCCTCTGCCAGAGCTTCAGATTCAGTGCTGTCCTCTGAAATAAATGCTTCTGGGGGGAAGGGCAGGTGTCCATGTAGTTGGGATTGGGGTTAGCCCCTCAGACCTCTCCACTGATTTCCTACTCCATCCCCGCATGTTGCATTCACATCTTGGAGCACTGGGTTGAAATCTGGTTCCTCTTTCCCTACGGAAATATAAACAATCCCCTCCCCTTGGGTGGGTTAGTGCGCTGTGCCCCGCTACCATATCTTTTTTTTTACCATTTCCCTTCCTCCTTTTAAGGTGGCTACCATATGTATCCCTGTATTTGGTCTGGTCCTTGCCATACTACCTGGTCCTCACCCCAGGAATGTTTGTATACAATAGCTTTTTCCCTATGCCCCTTTTGCATTTTCTTTTAAAAGCTTACCTCAGCAGACTCATGTTGTACTTGCCCTTTTGTGCTTGGCTTATTTTGCTTAGCATGATTTCCTCCAGTTCTTCCCATGCAGCGATGTGCTTCATAAATTCATCACTGCTTTTTTAGCAATGCATAGCACTCCATTGTATGCATGTAGCACAGTTTTTTTTAATCCACTGGTCAGTTGATGGAAACTTGGGTTGT